CCCTGGCATGGCAGAACCTTGAATGGGGAGGACTGAGTGCTCAGGGAGGTGAGCAAAAGCACTGCTATTTGGGAGCCTCGGCACAAGTCTCCATGCCAGCTAGACTTAGAGAAAAGGTCCTAGAATAGACAATTGTCCTGGACAAAGAGTTCCAAGGGTGGCAGGCACTGATTAAAGAGTTTCCCCAAATACCCATAAGCTCCTGAAAAAGGACCAAGGTTGGATTTTATATCCATTGGTGGATGGGAACAAAGGATATTTAATCTAGAACAGTAAAGGAATGTGACCCGTATGTCATGGAACAAATCTTTACCTGTTAACAGTGTTTAACACCAGCCTTCACCCCTTCCTTTAAAGTATTTAGGTTTCTTGGCTCAAAGAAACCTCCAATTTGATTTGTTAACCTGCCTCTCAGGAGTTGGAAGCTGGAAGTGTTCCAGGATATGTGTGTATGGGTGTGCATGCTGCTCTGTGAAAATGCCTATTCCGGTCTGGTCCCTCTCTTACCAATTCAATGGGAGCCTGAGTCAAAGGTAGACTTGACCAAGGACATCCCCTGGAAGTGGGAGGAAAGGTTGCTGGGTAGAGTGGCACGCAAGACTGGGATTGCTCAGGACTGGGGCTCCCCAGGCTCAGCTGTGAAACCCATCTGCAAGTCTGCACTGCCCCCAGGTGACCACACCAGAGCTCTGCCTCCCATTTGGTTTGGGGAGAAGAATATCTGAGATATATGTGACTCTTCCAGCTCTTTGGCGACCCAGTAGTGTGGAGACAAGGGGAGACAAGGGGAGAAGCCAAGAGATCTGTAATCACCAAATTGGGCACTGAAATGTCAAAGAAATGTCTTTTTGCCATGTTACTATGTAATTTTGGCACAATATATTCAGAAAAATCAATTCAGTTCACTAGCTAAAATGCTCAGAGATTTGGGGCAAGAGAACATCAGGTAACTGAGGTTTAGCTAAAATAATTTTTCTGTTTCTACTATTAAAGGTTTTTTTGTTTTTTTTTAAATTTTATTTTATTATGTTAATCACCATACATTACATCATTAGTTTTTCATGTAGTGTTCCATGATTCATTGTTTGCGTATAACACCCAGTGCTCCATTCAATACGTGCCCTCCTTAATACCCATCACCAGACTAACCCATCCCCCCACCCCCTCCCCTCTAGAACCCTCAGTTTGTTTCTCAGAGTCCATAGTCTCTCATGGTTCGTCTCCCCCCCTCCGATTCCCCCCCTTCATTTTTCCCTTCCTACTATCTTCTTTTTTTATTTGTTTAACATATAATGTATTATTTGTTTCAGAGGTACAGGTCTGTGATTCATCAGTCTTACACAATTCACAGCGCTCACCGTGGCACATACCCTCCCCAGTGTCCATCACCCAGCCACCCCATCCCTCCCACCCCCACCACTCCGGCAACCCTCAGTTTGTTTCCTGAGATTAAGAATTCCTCATATCAGTGAGATCATAATGATACATGTCTTTCTCTGACTGACTTACTTCGCTTAGCATAATACCCTCTAGTTTATTAAAGATATTTTTTAAACCTTTCTGACATTCAATCATTCAAAGAATTATTGGGGACTTAGTTTATGCTATGCACTATACTAGAAATGGAGGATGTAAAGACATTGTCTCCATCTGCAAAGAGCTTACAGTTCAGGAAAAGAGACATATAAGTATAATGTAATTATAATAAATCGTAGATAACAATAATAAATGAGGTCTGTGCCTCGATAGAGGTATGTAAAAGATATGTAAGCACCTAATGGACCAGGGGATGGGACTAATCAGGGAAGACATCCTTCCTGGAAGAAGTGATGTCTGAGCTGGATCTTAAATGTGTTATCTATGTGGGGACAAGGGGTTGACAACAAAAGGAGACCACATTTAAGACAGAAAGGCCAGCAGTAGCAAAGATGATGATGAGAGAAACAAAGGTGGGGGCAGGAGGGGCCCTAAGGGTCAGAAGAAGCAGACAGGAAGGGCCTTACACATATTAGATCAAGGAGCCTGGATCAAATCCCATAGAGTCGCTGAAAGGTTTTAAATAGGCGATACATATGGTCAGATTTAATTTTACAAATACACGAGCAGAGGTTATGGAGGGGAGATTGACGGAACACATCTGGAGACAAGGAGACCAGAGAAAATAATCTAACTTAAAGCAGAACCATATAGGAGAAAGAAAAATAAGCACCTGAATTAGTGAGTTTGGGGAGAAAACAACAGTTCTAAGGGCCTTGGATGAAGGAGATGAAGCAAAGGAAAAATCAAGGAAGGCTCTCCAATATCTAGCTCAGGTGACTGTGTGGCTGATGGTATTGCCAATTAGATGCTAAATTCCAATGGAAGAGCAGGGCTTAGTGAGGAAGGAGTTGAGTTCTGTTTGCTCTAATGTATCTCTGGGATACACTGAAATAGAGATATCTGGGAATCTGTTAGAAATAAAAGCTAAAGTTTTTGGGAGAGATAATAAGCTAGACATGCAGATTTGGGGTGTTACTTGCATAATGATCAAAATTAAAACCAGGGGAACAGATGAAATTGCCCAAGGAGAACAGGAATAAAGAAAAGGACAGAGATCCAAGGACTAAACTCTGGACAAGGAAACCTTTGGTAGTACTGTCTTACATTTTTCTGGGGCTTTGGAGTTTACTAACTGCTTTCACATCTATACCTTACTCAGTTCTCATCTGGGGAGTTCTGTAAAGCAACTGGTAAAGTCAGGGGTGATTGTGATGATGCCAAGGCTGTAACAGATTCAATCCATTGGATGGGCAGGATGTGGGAACAGCACTTCCCCCGACATTGTCACAGAGGAAATTCCCAGCTATTGACTCGAAGCTCTGGGTTAACATGACAGAGTAGGATCCTAAAGGGTCTTGAAACTCTTGCCTAGACTCCTGGTTGGGAACAGAGCTGGCCTGTGACTCTGAGTTAGAAAAGCTGTGGAGGGACAGTGGCAGAGCTGACAGAAGCTCTGCAGTAGCTTGTCTCCAGAAGCAGAGGTAGTCTGTCTGCTTCTATGTGTCCTAAAGGCAGCAGTCCACCAGCCCCAGCTGAGGAAGGGCTGCAAGCTATGGGAGAGGAACATTTATATCGTATCAGTTCACTTGTCATGAAAAGAATATAATCCTAGGAAAGAAAATGAATAAAGCAGTGTTGTTAAATTCTAAATAGCTACTCTTGTCAGATGAAAACAAACAAACAAACAAAAACCTCAAGGTCTGAGGTCTATTTTTTTGGTTGAAAAGGAGACTAATAAGTGTTAGATTATGTTCCTGACATATTAGGCCCAAATGAGAATTTCTTCCACGTGTAATTCAGGCTTGAAAGAGGACTGCAAAGGGAATTACTTTCTCATGATATGACTCTTTGTTATTTTATGCTTGTCCATTTACCACCTAAAATTATGTCCCATGTAACTCAATGTCATCTCATATACTATCCTATCACTGGTACATGCCCTAAACTTTTGGAAACAAGGTTTTGATGCGTGAGAGTAAATCAGGCATGGGATGTGGGAGCTAAAACTGAGGCTATTAGATACTAGAAGTAAATCAACAAAACCAAGTAGAGAATCTTCAAAGGCCAACTTCATGTCCTTTACAAGTTTGTATAAACCCTTTTACAACATTTTGTAAATTTTCTAAAATTTATTTTTGTATCATCTCTGGCACCTAGGATAGGATGGCATCCATAATAGATGCTCAATAGATACCTGGAGCTGACTGACTGAACAAAATGGTATTATTCGGACAAATTGTGCAAATAGGACCCTAGGAGCCCAAGAGGTAGACAGGTTTTCTGAAAGGTACTCCCTTATCTCCCACCTCCAACCGATACAGGCTCAGCCTAAAGTCTAAGCAAGGTATGGAAATGCCATAAACCAGCAATGTAGAATCGGTTCTAAGGACTGAAACTTGAAAAGAATAATTCTTTCTCCTCTTTTGAACTTGGAGACCTGGCTTTTGATAAATAACTTTCTTTACTCTTGCAATGGTCTTGTCCCATTTTCAAGTGGTGAAATAACTTCAAAGTAGGTTCCCTCTCATAATGAAGTGTTCCAGGTGTGTCTTGCATTTAAATCATCAAGGAACACTCCTTATCTGCCATACATAAGAGACTGGTACCCTAAGTTTGTATCCATTCAAGTGTATTTTCTTGATTTTGCGTAGATAACATGAGTGATGGATAGATAAAATCTGTAACTACTCTTTATAAAGTAAAATACCTGAGTCTTTCAAAGTCAGTTTGGGAAATTCAAGCCCATCCTAAGAGAAAGGTGAAAATACCGTCATTAGACACTCAGCCCTGAGGAAGTCCCCTTTAAAGTTATTAGGCCTGTAGACAGAGATGAAACCGACAAACCTTACATACTTTGTCCTAGTCTGGAGCAGGGAATTTAATTTTCTTCTGAGAAGGGACTTTAGGTGCCAAAGGAAAACAGATTGAAAATAAACCCCTCTCTGAAAGGGTATAAACTAGCTATGGAAAAGATTTCAGAAATCTGGCCAATGAATCTTTCTGCCCACCCTAGTTTAGTGCTAAGGCTCTGTGCCCAGATTCTAACAAAGAACCAACTTCTGTGGCTAGAATTATTTATTTATGACTCCCCTTCTCATTGTGGATCATTGATGGCAATATCTAAACAACCAATTTGTCCCTCTTTGTTCCTCTCATGCATCAATCAGTGCATTCCCAAAGACTACACATTTTTATTTTTAACCCAAGTTAAACGTAATAAGGAACCTTACTGCTGCCAAATGCCACCCCAAATCTCAAAGTGAGATATAAGGGATTTGGAGGTTGTCTATTGTTTTAGAGAATTCCTGCCAAGTTCCTTGCAGAAAAATAGGCTGACCCCATTAGTAAATCATGTCATCACCATCGGCCCATTTTCTCTCTGATTTTGGTGATGAAATCCTTCTATGAACAGAGGAGAGTTACATTGTCAGATTCCCGAAGCAATCCTCCTTTGGACTTACCTGTAGAAATTGCTGAGTGGGAAAGGTCAGTGAACTCAGAGACCAAGCTTTGGTTCGGTGACTTCGGGAGCCCGACCAAAGCTATCCCCGTCTTCCCACTCCTTTTTATGCAACCCTGAGCTGCAAATAACCTCAAGCTGTGGTGCCACCCCTCAAACCACTTTATCTGGCCTCCCAGATCTTCAGCACTCTCAGAGCCAAGGGGCCTCTATATTCTCCTGCTCCATGGCTTCCTCTGCCTCAAGGACCTCTACCTCCCAGGGTGTTACAACTCAGCAAGGGTTTCCCTGGTGTGAGTTATTTTGCTTTAAGGCTACTTTTCTATCACATTTCTAATATGGAAGCAGCCTGAAATTAAAATGCACAAAACTTAATTTTGGACACCAAAAGGATTTGGTGCAATTGAATTTCAGGCATTGTCTGGGTCTCCCTGAAGTTGAGCCTGCTGTATAGGGGCTTCTTGTGCATGGCTTTGGAGCAGTTTGATAATTTGAAACATCACTTAGCCATGACAGAGCCCTGGTACAGCCAGAAACCAACAGATTCCTTCCTTTCATCCCTTCCCCTTCCCAGCCCTACCTCCCTCCTTTCCTTCCTTCCTTCCTCTCTTTCCTTCTTTCTTTCTTGTAAGGTCTATGCCCGACATAGGGCTTCAACCCACGACCCCAAGATCAAGAGTTGCATGCTCTACCGACTGAGCCAGCCAGGTGCCCCCAATAGATTTCTTAATTAGGACTTCATCCAGTGCCATTCTCCAAGTTGAATCAATACCACTTACTAGCTATGTGAACTTAACAAGTTATTTAACCTCTTTGCACCTCAGCTTTCCCAGATGTAAAATAGGGACAATGATACTTCCTTAATGTGAACTTTAAGTGAGATATGATATGTGTAATACATGGTAGGTGCTCAGTAAATTCCAGTTCCTTTAACCCTACCTTCTACATTTTAGAGAGAATCTATTCATCTGCCTCACCTCTTGCTTCATAGGTGGTATAAGGCTTGGGCTGAAATAGTCCTCGAGGGCACTTCTAGGAAGGATATGGGGTGAATACCCTAGAAAATAACAAGGATTGGTCTCTCTCTTTCTCAGATTACAATGGTAAGACCAAGAGATACTCTGTCTGAATTTAGCTCCACTTCAGAGAATGCTTACAATGTTCATTTCTGGGACAAGCCTGTTAGTAGGCAAGACCACGACTCATTAACATAGCCCAGCCCAGAACCCTGAAGACAGAGTGATTTTTATCTTACAGTATAGGGTGGAATGTATGAGGTCATATATCTGGCTCATATATAAGGCTCTTGAGAGCAAAAGTACTTGTCACAAGAACATGACATTACCAGGTCCATATTCTAGACAATTATTTACATGACCCACAACTCTTTGAAGCAGGAATCCTCTTACTCATGTTTATTTCCTTTAAGTATCTACCATATTGCTTTGCACATCGAAGGCATTCATTAAATTGGATTGACTCAGTATCCTAGAACATGAAACTGAAGGAAAAATAATGCAACTTAAAATTGCTAGAGAGCAAGATCCAGACTGACTAAAAGAACCAGGAAGAAACCAAAGCTGGGTGGAATATTTTCTTTTTTTCTTTCCTTTTTTTCTCAGTTTTAAAATATTTTTAAAAAAATATTTATTTATTTATTTATTTTAGAGAGAGAGAGTGAGAGAGTGCACGTGGGGGGGGAGCAGAGGGAGAGAGAAAAAAATCTTCAAGCAGACTCCCCGCTAAGTACAGAGCCCCGTGGGGCTCGATTCCAGGACCCTGAGATCATAATCTGAGACTAAATCAAGAGCCAGATGCTTAACTGACTGAGCCACCAGGTGCCCCTGGCAGAATCTTTTCTATGTATCAGACTTTGCTCACATAACTTTTATCTGAGGACCTTCACCATCTACTAGAAAGTTATTGCACTTAAGAAGACTATCTTTTTTTTTTAAGACTTTATTTATTTGACAGAGAGAGAGAGAGAGAGAGAGAGACAGCGAAAGAAGGAACACAAGCAGGGGGAGTGGGAGAGGAAGAAGCAGGCCTCCTGCTGAGCAGGGAGCCCGATGTGGGGCCTGATCCCAGGACCCTGGGATCATGACCTGAGCCAAAGGCAGACGCTTAACGACTGAGCCACCCAGGTACCCTTAAGAAGACTATCTTAGGAATATGTTGTTAGTAGCATAACTGGCTAGAACAGTGGCTGAAATAGAGTCTTGTTCCTGAAGCCATGCCTAGTCACCAGCAAGTGATAAGTAAGACCTTTCCCCTTACTGTGGGATGGGTTAAGACAGTGTGACACCAGCCATTTGGAACGGCCATGGGGCTGGGAGCTTGGTTCAAATCCCCTCTGCCCCGGGGGGATTTGCATAGGAAAATTTAAGTTTTTCAGTCAATCATTACCTCCTCTGTGTTTTGTCCTTGATGCTAATGGAGTGTGTGCTACTGTAATTCATTAATTAAAATTCTCCTTTCCCTTAAAACTCAGTTTTGCTACCTTCAGGCTCACTATATAATTTTTTTTCCCCCTAAGAGCTAAAATGGGAATATTCCAGGCTGGGAGAGCCAGAATTAGAGTGACTGGGGTGTGAGTAAACTGCTAACAGTGTTGTCTCCTCCACTAGATTTTAACTCCTGAAGGCAGGGACTGTGTTATTCATCTGTGTATCCCTACTGCCTAGTGGGATTCCATGGTGGCTATTCAATAAATGCTTACTTATTAATAAATGAGTCAAATATAACCAACATTGCAAAAAATTATAGGTGTGAGACTGATTGTATAGATAATATGCACCAGAGAACTGCAGAAGAAGAAATCTTTGTGGGGCAAGATGGTCAAGGAAGTTTCTATGGAAGGAGTAGGAAAAGTTCCATGGAAGAATTTGACTCTCTGTACAGAGATGGGATAAGATATGATAAGAATATGGGCTTTCAAATCACTTAAACCCTGTGAGCCTCAATTTTCCCTCTATCCAAAAATTTACATTTAGAAATGGGGACAATAAATCTACATCATACATAAAGAGTAAATGAGATGGCTATATAAAGTAATTAGCATAGAGCATGATGCACACAAAAGAATTTTCTTCCCTCTCAAAGTTATCTTCCTTCTACTAAACTGTATAGTCATCCCATTGGACTTGAAAGCTGTCCTGACAGTATTCTGGAGTTAACAGTGTCATTTCCTTCACCAGCCAAGGAGCTTTCTAGCTCCTCTGGTGAAAGATGTTTCAGGGAGGCTTTGTTCTCTAAGGACAAATGAGATAAATAAGCATGCTAAATACTTTCTATCTTCTATCCTTGAGCACACAGGACTATGGGAGACCTCTACTAAGCAAGGCATCTCCAATTTTATTTCTGTTTGCACTTCACAGAACTTTATTATGGGAAGAGCTCTTTGAGATAATTTAATATATATATTTCTTTTTATATATTAAAACAAAAACTTTAACCCAGAGCAATTATGTGATTCACTCAGCTAGTTAATGGCAGAACTATCAACTATATACTTGGGTAGTTTTTATGTGAACATGTGTTTTCATTTCTCTTGGGTAGAATTGCTGGTTCATATGGTAACTCTACATTTAACATTTTGAGAAGCTGCAAACTGTTTTCCAAAGTAGCTACACTTCCCTCTCTATTTCTGGCACCCTGGGGTCGCAAGGAAATTATGGCTCATAAGCCAGTACTGTGGATAGGAAATAGATACTGCAGAGAAACTACTTCTCCAAGCATGTACTACATTAACCATGTGTTTCAAATTCATACTATCTATGTAGTTCAGGAATGTGAACTGAGAAATTAACATAAAAGTGGGTTTAGAACTGATCAAATACAGAGGTGTCCATGGACAGGGTAAACCTAAAAGTCTATACCTAGACAAACTATAATTTAAAAGGAAAAGCAAAATAAATGTATTTAAAGACCTACAGAGGGGCGCCTGGGTGGTTCAGTCGGTTAAGCGTCTGCCTTCTGCTCAGGTCATGATCCCAGGGTGCTGGGATGGAGCCCCATGTCAGGCTCCCTGCTCAGTGGGGAGTCTGTTTCTCCCTCTCCCTCTGCCTGCAGCTCGGCCTGTTTGTGCGAGCGCACGCTCTCCCTCTCTCTCTGTCAAATAAATAAATAAATAAATAAATAAATAAATAAAATCTTAAAAAAAAATTAAGACCTACCGAGACTTAGAACATTCACCATCAAAACACTCTTACTAAAAGAGCTATTAAGGAATGTACTCAAACCAGAATCAAAACCAAGAAGGAAATAGGGGAGTGCAAGAAGCAATGGTGAAAAAAAGTTGTTAAACATGTTGATACATCATGCTAGCTTATAGGACTAGCAAACCCTTTAAGCTAAAAAAAAAAAACAAGGACAGTAAGAGAAGAAAAAAAAATTACAGGCTAATCTTATCCTTGAGCACAGTTGCAAAAATCCCAAATAAAATACAAAGAAATCAAATTCAATTTCATGATCAAGAAGGATATTAACACAGGAATGGTTCCACATTAGAAACTTTATTTATGTGTGGGTGGGGATGGGCTAGGTGGGTGATGGATATTAAAGAGGGCACTTGCTGTGATGAGCACTGGGTGTTGTATGTAAGTGATTAATCACCGAATTCTACTGCAGAAAACAATATTGCACTGTATGTTAACTAACTAAAATTTAAGTTAAAAAATTAAGAAGAAACTTTATTATGTAATTCAAAACTATATAACCATCTCAATATGTATCAAAAAATTAAATAGAACTCACTCATTCATTTTGCTCTATCTATATTCATGATTTGTACTCCTCTATATATTGTCTTTTCCCATTCCCCTGCACAGAGAAAACCCCATACTCAAAATCTTATTAGGCAGGGATCTGTCTAGAGAGTCTGCGGACATTTTTTTTTTTTTTGCAAGAGTAAAAGTTATTAGGATATATTTCCTGCTGTTTTCAACTCTGATTAAAGTCTTCAACAGAGGCTCTTCAGAAGATCAGATACAATGTTTTGAATATAAGTAGTCATGTCCCACATCACAAACTTTCCTTGCTCTCTTCAAGCCCCCTG